TCTGATTTTTTTCTGATTTTTCCATGCAGAGAAATTTTTACTACAATAGTTTAGTTATTAAGGCAGACCTTCAGCATTATCTACAATATTTTCTAGCAGAAAACAAATATTCCCTTAGATAAAACATACTTTTATATATTATAGCCCTATTCATATTTTCCCTTAATTTTTTATTAATTCTCTTCACTCACTAAATTTTACATTTGTTGAATTTGTCTATTTTGTGCAAATTTTAAAAGGAACTAGCATGGAATTATTTCTAACATTATTTTTAAAATGTATATACTTGTAAAAAAAGATAGTTATTGGAAAAAATCATCAATTCACCACTTATTTACAATTCTATAGAATTCCAGAGTAGCTCTATTCACTTCCATGTGTGTAGGGGTCACCCTCCACTAGAGCAAGAGAGAGAGAAGTGAGAGAGAGGGAAAGAAAGAGAGAGAGTAAGAGAGAAAGAGAGAGAGAGAGAGAGAGAGAGAGAGAGAGAGAGGAAACATAGTAAGGGAACAAAAAATGGTGAAAGTAGTCACAACTGAGATTTTGTCATAGAATTGAGGGGACAGAAGGAATCACTGGTGGAGGGAAGCAGCCTCTCTTGTGGTGGGTGTGATGCTGGAATAATGCATGCATGAAAAGTATAATTAACAGTATTTTAAATCATGGGACCTCGATTAAAAAAAAGTGTGTGTTTATAAACACACACACACACACACACACACACATATATATATGTTTATTTACACACACACACATATATACATAGTCAAGGATATAGCACAAAGAATATATACCACAGGGACCAGAGCATAGCACAGAGGGTAAAGGCATTTGCCTTGAATGCAGCTGATCTGGGTTCTATCCTCAGCATCCCATATGGTCCCCTGAGCAACGTCAGGAGTAATTCCTGAGTGCAGAGCCAGGAGTAACCTCTGCGCGTTGCTGGGTGTGACCCAAAAGCAATATATATATTTAAAAGGCAAGGTACATATATATGTACATATATATGTATATATTACTTCACTTGTATTACTTGTCATCCCATTGTTCATCAATTTACTTGAAAAATATATATACATATCTATCTATATACACACATAAATATATATACCCCAGTAGTATACCGTATTCTTCACATGTATGATGCCTTAATTTCAATTCTTGAATTGTAAAAATTAATTAACATCATGGAGATGTTACTGGGCCCGTTCAAGCAAATCGATTAACAACGAGAGGACAGTGCTATATATTCCTTTCAGTCTCCACTGTAACTACATTCAGGTTTTATCCAAATAACTTATCCAGATAACTGAGTTTCACCCAAAGATCTCTGAAATGGCCTTTCCTGTTAATCCACCTTTAACACCAGTCAGAGTGATTCTCTCCAGTATATACAAATATGACCATATCACTCTGCTGTTCAGAATTCCTCCGTGGTTCTCCACTTACTGTAGAGTTGGATTTAAGCCTTTGAAAGACCAGGAAATGCTCTTCTAATGAACTAAATCCCTAGGTCTATAGTCACACCCTTGTCCTTCTCTTTCTCACACCTTCGTAGAGTGGTAAGTCAAATCACTTGGGTAGCTTTCACTGCACTTATAATGCTCTTTCACTTCTTCACTATTCCTATAACTGTGTACTCAGAATGCATGCTATTTCCTCTTAATTAAGCTATCTTCATGATCCATTCCAGGCACCAGGCTTCACGGTAGCTTCTGCAACTTTATCATCACTTTTTTATATAATATTGAAATCATTTACCTAAGTGTTAGTTTCCCTAAAGAAAAAAATTGTTCCTCAAGAGAAAGGATCATGTCTTAATTCATGTTCATATCCACAGCATATAATGTAATATCAAAGACATGGTTATTACTCCATTAGTTCTCTTTTGACCTGAATAAAATTTGATCTGTATATGTAACGTCCCAAATGAAACCAAAACCCAACTAATAATATGTGACAACTCCTTGTCTTTAACAAGCATCTCAACCCTTTAACAAGCATGCCTTTAACAAGCATCTCAACCCTTTTCCTTGCTGAAGTGTATTATTTTTACCTTTCATCAGTTATTTATCTGAAGACTTGGTGCAACCCTTAGTTGGACTTCATGTTCATAATATGCCACCATTGCCAACAAAGCAAAAGTCACACAATGACCAAACCAATCCTCTGGTTTCTGTAGGAATGATACTAACAGAAGAAATTCATTTGGCAGATTTATGAAAACAATTACCAAATGCCCTCAGAGGTCCTTCTAATACTGCAAGATGTCATCATGGACTAGCTGAATAGCAATTGTACTTTCCATATAGTTTTGTCCTTTGATTTCAGATCTTATCTCCAATACTTATAGAGCTGTCCAACTATAGTTCACGGGAATTACAATATGGTAGCCCATCAATAACCTAAGCCATCTTTCTCGTAAATAGATTCAATCCCTCCTTCATCAATTGGTTGGCATGGCATTGCTTATCATGACCCTTTTACACTGTAGAGGAACAGTTGTCTCATGCAGTATTACAACTCGTCTGATCAGAAGTTCAATTCCATTAAATGATAAGGGAAAACTGCTCACTAGCTCCCAAATTAAAGAGCTATGATTAAGAGTCATCTCTGGCTCTCATAATTTAACTGAACAACAGCAGTGAAAGTTTTCTGTTCAACAATGATAAAGATTGCAACTTGAAAGAAAATTCCAAGTACATTTTTCTTGCTATTTTGAAGTAAAAAAAAACTTTATTAATGCATCACCCAAATTCTACATGTATATTCTATATTTACTATGAAGATGGCAAACATACAAAATTACATTTGGTTCAAGAGAAAAAATATGGTTCACTTTTTAAGGAGAAAATATTTTACAGGATCACAAAGATTTCTAGTTTAATTGCTGTACCATTAATTTCTCATTAATATGTTTTAATTAGAGGTTTCTTAAATGCAAACAGGCTTCTACAGATGAATCTAGTCTTTTCATTTCCCAGCTTTATCGACTCACCAGGGCATCATCTCTATTCACCTAATTAGATTCATCACCATGCATTTATTGCACATGCAGTCAACGAGAGCATGTCTGTATGTTATGCATATGACCAAGTTTAAATATAGCATTTTTCCAGAAGTCTTCTGTGATATGCAGACAGCTTCATACACTTACTACCTAGCAAAATGCCCTGTTTTGTTCTACATTCCTTTGTCAATGTTTACAGATTTCTATAACACAACATACTATAAGGATTTTTAATTTTTGTTTACTTCTCCTTTGCCTTGTTAGACTTCCAAGATTTGCTACCACTTATATTTCCATTGTCTTTAATGAGATAAAGCACACGATCAAAATCAATTTTCTTTTGGGGCTGGAGATGGTACAGCAGGTAAAGCTGTCCTTGTCTTGCATGCAACCCACACAGGTTTGATTCCCAGTAATGTATATATGGTCCCCCAAGCCCGCCTAAAGTTATTTCTGAAAGTGGAATCAAGATAAATTCTACATAACAAACAATATAAAATAAATTATTTTGGTTCTGCTTTGGGCAAGGTTTAGCGTTCGGGATGAAAATATCCAAAATATGGTAATGGTAAGGTATAATGGTTGTGAGGCTGGTGTTCAAATATTAAATGTAATCAGATATTGTGAACTACTTTTTTAGCACTGTAGCATTGTCCTCCCATTGTTCATTGATTTGCTCAAGTGGGCACCAGTAATGTCTCCATTGTGAGACTTAGTGTTACTGATTTTGGCATGTGGAATATGCCATGGGGAGCTTGACAGTCTCTGCAGGAGCGTGCCAGGCTCTGCACTACTTTATTAACATAAAATAATTTTTTAAACATAAAGTTTTGCACACAGCTGGGTGTGGCCCGAAAATCAAAGACCAATAATAAAAAAATTAAAATAAATAAATAAATTTTGGCTTGTTCTTCAAGCCTGTGTTCTCCCTTGAACACATATCTCACTTGTTTGTCTCTTTGCTTTATTTTTCCTCTCTGGAGAAGCCCATGTTCTCTCTTGAACATGCATTTTCTCTCTTTCTCTCCCTTCACATCTAAGTAAGTTTCGATAAAAGCTATCTTGTTTCATAAAATTTTCTTGGATAAATGAAGACTTTGGAAAGCAATACACATTATAATAAAGGTCCTAAAGTTTAGCATAGCATGGTATGTAAACCCTTTCTCCATTGCCTATATCACGATCACGATCATCCTGTTGTTCATCGATTGCCTCGAGCAGGCCCCAGTAACGTCTCCTTCGTCCTAGCCCTGAGATTTTAAAAAGTGCCATATCCAAGGCTCTTTCAGGGTTAGGAGAATGAGACCCATCATTATTACTGGTATTTGGCATATTGGGTACGCCACGGGGAGTTTGCCAGACTCTGCTGTGTGGGCAGGTTACATTCGGTAGCCTGCCAGGTTGTCCAAAGTAAGAATGAGATAATAAGATGTCTTTCTGACAATCCATGATTAAACAGCAACTTTTTTTTCCACACCCGGCAATGCATAGGGCTTACTCCTGGCTCTGCACTCAAGAATCACTCCTGTTGGTGCTCTCAGGACCATATGGGATGCTGGGAATCGAACCCAGGTTGGCCGCATGCAAGGCAAATGCCCTCCCCGCTGTGCTATTGCTCCTGTCCCAACATCAACCGTTTTACCTTCCTGTATTCTCTTGTTTTATAGTCACATTATTTAAGCTATTTTTTAAATGTAGAGGGTTCCCAAAAGTATTTGCTCTATTACCACCTGAGATTATCGGTGGTAATAGGTAATACCATCTATTACCTTCTAGCACCCAGGATCCTTCTAGCACCCAGGGGGAAGGTATCAGTTGTTCTGTGAAATACTATAAGGAAACTGAAGCTTCTTAAATAAGCTGCAATAATACCTTTCTCAGGAATGAAGCGTTAAAAATTTCATGTTTAGTCATATAACAAAAAAATTCATGGCTAACAATATCTTGAAGGTCATAAAAATCATATTTTAAGGATTCAAAGAGTCATTACCTTGCTTTCTGCTAACCAGCGATGTGGGTCATAATTAATATCAGGACTAGATGAAAAAACCTACAAAAAAGAGAAGGAGCTTATTAAGAGATTTATAAAATTTTATAAATCATATTTATTATAAAAATAAAATTCTCCACCATAAACATCCAAAGGTTAAGAACTTAATTTTTTGTTTTGTTTAGGAACTTCACCCAGCAGTACTCGGGATTACTCCTATCTCAGTCCAGGGGTGCTTAGATAATCTTGTAGTGCTGAGAATGGAAACTGGCACTACTGCATGCTTGTTGAGCTCTCTCTCTCTCTCTCTCTCTCTCTCTCTCTCTCTCTCTCTCTCTCTCTCTCTCTCTCTCTCTCTCTCTCTCTCCGGACTCTAGTTCCAAAACTTAAAGATGTAATAAGAAATAAGTAATTTCAAATTCATTTCACTCAATGAAATCCAAACTTATTTCCCCCACAGTCTAAGTGAGGTGTTTATTCTTTCAAGACCAGCTGTTTGGTAGGCAGGCACACATGATAGGGTCAGAACGGGCATCATATTCTGGAGTGAGTCATTTCCACTTCCAGTTGCTCACCGGCTATGTACTAATGTGTAAAATCTTCCCTGATGTTGCTTAAATATTACTAGATATGCAATCATCCCTTCAGATGTTTGCTTGTTTGGGTTTTTTGCTGTCTTTGATGGTCTCCACCCCCATTGTTTTCCTGTGGCAGGAAGGTTCTCCTGGAGTACATGCTTACTAGAACACAGACATTTTCTACTTTGCCCCCTCTGTTAGTAATTAAGTTATTTACATGCCTTCAATAATTGTCCATTTAGGGTTAAATGCTTTTTCTTCAAAATGGAACAAACACCACTGAAGTTTATACCCCAATAGGAATTTGATTTTGGCCTTTGAATTCACTGGAGGCATCTCCCAGGACTACTATTGAGTTAATGAATATACAAAAGACCCAATTAATGTTCTTTGCTCAGTTGTCACCTTCATTTTATTTAAGTATTTGGTGAAATGCCACAGTAAATGGAATGGCCAATTGAAAAAAGGCACAGGTTCTGATTTCTAATGGATGGTGATAATTCTCAGAGGCTCTTTCCCCTAATATTACTAGACATCAATTTGGGGCGGGCTGGAGTGATAGCACAGCGGGTAGGGCATTTGCCTTGCAAGCAGCCAACATGGCCGACCAGAGTTCGATTCCTCCACCCCTCTCAGAAAGCCCGGCAAGCTACCAAGAGTATTCCACCCGCACAGCAAACCCTCACAAGCTACTCGTGACATATTCGATATGCCAAACACAGTAACAACAAAGTCTCACAATGGAGATGTTACTGGGCCTGCTCGAGAAAATCGATGAACAATGGAAGGACAGTGACAGTGAGTGACAATTTGGGGTACACCAGGGACCAAATAATTAACAATGTCATGCCAAAGGGTGACATAGAGGATGTGGGTGCAGGTCTTAAAGTCTCCCACAGTTTTTGAGAACTCTCACCTGCCTAGAGATGCATAAGGGGTGATTGATGAGTCTGTGATTGCTTCCCCGCACACTGTGGAGATCAGATCCTAGGACAACGCCCTCCTTCTTCAAACATTTATTTAAAAGTTTATTTATCTAAGTGTGTACATGTATATAATGACAGTAAAAGCTGGCTTAAATATAAAGGCATGGAAAAAATCAACTCTCAATTGTTATCAATGCTAGAATCTGTGGAGGTTGATTTTACAGAGTTCTTTGTGGAAACCCCTCTCAATTAAACCAATTTCCTTCATTTTTGTATCTTTCTTCTCTTCAATAGTGTTCCACGTAATGCATTTCACAGTGATTTCAAGGTAATTACACAGAAACTTAATTCTTTATCTCATTTACTCATCTTTAATTTTATCCTGTAAAGGCTATTTTTGTCTCCTCAATGGCTGTGTAGAACTGGCAGAAACTAATCAACATGACTTTGTGTAAATATTGCTTTATATATATCATGATAACAACAAAATTCTACAATAAATAGCCTGTCAATTTCACAGTATTCTAATTTCTGTCAAACCAACTCTTTATAAAATTCTTTGCTGAATCTGCCTTATTAATGAAGTAAATTTTTTTCAAATGTTATCAGTGACTTTGTAATTATAAATACATTTTTTCAATTATTGTTTTTGGAGTCCAAGATCAGCCTGGCAAGCTACCCATGACGTACTCGATATGCCAAAACACAGTAAAAACAAGTCTCATGATGGAGACGTGACTGGGCCCGCTCGAGCAAATCGATGAACAACGGGAGAACCATGACCGTGACCGTTTTTGGAGTCAAGATATTTCTTCAAAATTTCGTTTAAAAGATTTTGGAATATGCTATCCCTTCTGCAGGAAATATCTAATTCCAGGTTTTCCAAATCCTTCCTGATGTGTGAGGATATGACTCCCCTAAGAAAACATATTAGAAGAGTCTTTTGACAGCAGATGAACACATACTGAGTACCAATCACATGCCATGTACAGAGTATTATAATCTTATATCCAACATTTTTCACATCTACTCATCTAACTACCTAAATATGACTCAGTTCTTATTCTTTCGTGCACTGCCATTTTCCTAATCATCATAGCTCACAATATTTTCTACTATTCTTGTCTCTCTACTTGTGAGATTATTAGTAAACATATATTTGCTACTATATTTTTATTTTTCATAAAATCATGTACTAGCCTCAACTGAATTTTTAGTAACCTAATTTTGAGTTCAATTTTAAAAACTAAAAAAATTGAAGTGAGCACATGTAATGTTCATATTTTGTGCTCTTAAAAGTTTATATATAGTTTAATGCTTAAGTAAACAGGTCTGTATACTTACTAGTGGTAGAACAATTGCTCTGAATTATTAGTCATCATTTATAAAATGGCAACTCACCAAAAATAGTCAAGAGAAAAAATAAATAAGTGTAAGCAAAGTATCTACCGCACAGGCAACATTATAACAATACAATACATCAAGATCATCATCAACAGGCTTTCACAATTTTTGTGACAAGAGTACTATGGCAGGCATGCTCATAAAGCACATACAAATATTTGCTTTACCAAAAAAAAAAAAGCACTACATAACAATGGCATCAACATTAGTTAAGTGTGAAACACTAGTACAAGCTACTTCTTATTGCAAAACATAGCTTTAATATCATTTCACTCATTCTTCATAACTCAATATAAATAAGACACAAATTATTAGAGGAGATAAAGATATATAACTCGTTCAGGATAGTAAGCAATTTGGAGATATAACAATTCAAACCTACATCTATCTTGACCCAAAGTTTATTTTATTTATATTCTACGACTGAATGAAAACTCAGAGCAAGTGTTATGGAAAAACTCTGGAGTTGACCTAAGATGGTCTTGTGAAATGCTTATCTTTAATTCCAAGCTTTCTAACCATTTCAAAAGTGAAGAGAGTTTTATGTCTATCCATATGTTTATAAACATTATGTACATTTACTGAAATGAAATTAAGCAACAAATATAATGGCTAGAAAGGGAATATTAATATTTCCAAGGTTTTTCTCAGGCTAATTTATTCTATATCAATTATTTATTGCAATTCCTAGGATAATCATTTTCAACATAAAATGGTTAAAATTTCATCAGTAGTATTTCAAAATCAAAAATGATCAGAAACAATAGAAATTACTCATTAAAAGTATTTTAAAGAGACCAACGTTCTCCATGAATCTCTAAATTGTAGAGCAAAAATAATTATTTTAACAAATAGCACAGAGGGTTTTGTTTTTTTGTAGCTAGAGCATGTTATATCTTTAAATATTTTTGAGACACTAATAGGAATGAAAAATAGAAGTAATAAATAGAAAAATATCAAAAGTATTTAATGCTTTCGTAAAAAAATTACAATTCTCTTTTTTTTCAGATTTACTTTCTACCTAATTTTCCTAATTTAATTAGGAGGAATGTCATTCTCATGGGAGAGCTATAAAAACCCACTGAAATAAACATTCTCTTTCTACAGATGTAAGGAATATAGAGACTTTTAGAGTATGTTTGAGAAATACGTTAACTTCAAAAAATATATTTAAGAAGTCTGCTATCTGTATTCCATGCTTTAACCTATAATTGATCATAAGTTTTATCCTGTATTTTCCAAATGCTTCCATTTTTATATTTTTACTTGATTAAAAAAGTCATCCTAATAAATATTTAAATGCAGCATAAATATTACACTTCTAATATGTTCCATTTAGGTAAAATTAGTATTTTGATATCACATGTATTTGAATAAATTTAAACAAAAATTATTTTAAAATTTTAATTTGCATTAGAAAGAGAATAAATCAGCATTAAAGAAGTCCTATCATAAGCATAAAAGAATTAATTTTCTCCCCAAACCCAATTACTTCTCATAATTGGCACATAGCCCTAACTTGATATATACGAGCCTCAAAAAAAAAGGGGGGGTATGGTGCCGCCAGCAGGTCAATCTGTAACTGTGAGGCAAGTACATCAGCAGCCTGATGGCACCTTCAGACTTCCAGATACACCAAAATTGCTGCTGTGCCTTTGGCCAGACCCCAAAAGCTTGGGGCAAAGTTTGCCAAGAAAGTAAATGGCCAAAAGTTAGGTATGTGGGAAACACACCCACAAATTTCCTCCAGCTCAGTTATATTATTGAAGGCATGGCCTCTCTGGTTCCTTAATGGCCATGATCCCAGAACTCAGAAACAAATCTCAAAACTCAGCAGCTTTCGGGAGAAATGCACCGGGTCCCTGCCGTAGGTTAGCGGCACTGGGCCAACCCAGGTGGGAATAGGTTTTGTGCCTTGGCCTGTTCCCCCTGGCAGCCCAGTGGCCGCCATCTTCCAGAGGCCATTGGACAGTCAGGTTTGGGCCCACAGAGACAAAACATTTTGGGCCTCACGAGTTGGGAGTGGAGCCAGTTCTGTCCTCCCCACCCCAACGAGACCTCAAGTCATCACCCATGAGCAGCCTCTCTGGCTCCTGATCAACCTGCTTAACGGCCATGATCCCAGAGACTCAGAAACAAATCTCGAAACCCA